TGTTCCTTAAGTCCTCCACCTTCTGAAGCCTTCCATGTTATGCGCGCGATAGCGGGCGCAGCAAAACTGAAGTTCAAAATTCATTTCAATTCGAAGACACATTCATCAAAAAATAATCTTAAAGGCAGAAGTCAGGCTCAGCCTCATTGAAAGGCCCCTCCGGCGTGGAAGTGCTGTATCCGCATTTCTAGAGGTCAAGACAGCTTAGCGCTTTTTAACTCCGGCGTCTAGCACCTACGATTTCAACCCAACGACGCGTGGCCGAACGATCTCACACACCATTCGATATCTTCCCTGGGTCGTAATGGATGATCAGCTATGCCCTCTCAACTCGAAGTTTTCTCACTTCCCGAGACTGACATAATCTCTTACTTCGCTACCGTCTTTCAAGTTTCATCAGCGTAGAGCAGGAAAGACCGTATTTCTGAGTTTTCTTAGCATATTTCTTTCATTTTTCTCCATTTGTAGTCCGTCTCGCAACACTCTTTCGTATTCGAGTGCGAATGCCTCACCAACTGACCGGCCCACCTCCGCTTGGAGTTGTAGATGGCATCGACGACGTTAAGCGAACAAACTCATACAAATCGGAGAATTTCCATTGTCTTCACAACAACTTTTATTCGAGTGTCCACATAAAGCCGTTAAACAATATGCAAATAAGTAAAACTTCGGTTAGATTGCGATACACTAAAGTGAGCTACTGCGTGGTGGGACCTGTGTAATGAACGAATTTACTCTTATGGTGGTGATATCAGTCATAAAAATGTTCGAATAGTATTTCACACCAATCTTTCGCAGGAACCAGATGCGATACTCCTTGAGGAATATTATAGTAATCAAAGAGCTAAACAGCGGAAACAGGGCCCAAAGTGTGTGACAGCTGTATATAAGGGCGATACTGCTGGTCCCACCAAAGTACGTCATACAGTGCTGCAAAACAGCAGGAACGTGCAAGCATAGAATAGGGCAGACAGTCTGAAAACACATAAAGATGGTTAAGATCGACATGGTAAGCTTCTCCGGTTCAATTCAAAATAATAGATAGAGGTTCAATCAAATTTCTGGCTCAATTTAACGGTTGCCAACAATTCACTACGGTTAGGCCGATCTCAACCTGTATAGATGTTGAGGCATGCCACTATGATTTTCAATTTAACAATGTTTCCGATAAAGTTGTGAGATCAGGGTCAATCGGTGTGTTGGATCCTGGATCGTTCGGCTACTCTCATGGTGCGGAAGGGCGTAGTGGCAAGTGGCGGTGCTTGCCACGCGTACAGTCCGGGGATCAAGCCCTAGACGGCGCGTCGTCAGGGACAATCAAGCGGTTAACAGGCAAAAACATCTTGTTGGTAGATTTTTTAACACTGGCCTTTAATCTCCTTGAATTGACGCCCCTACGTTCCCATCAGCACCTTCACATAGTAGTCTCATCGTATTCTCACCGCCGACCTACTAGTGTTTCCAAAGACTCCGGAGCCGTAAATGATTTATAAGCGCTCGTGTGCTTAGTGGGGATGGTCAAAACAGAGCCGATGGTAAGTGACAAGCTGATTAAGTCCAGGAGAGGGGAAAACATCAGGACAAATTGCTCACATTATCTCCCTTGCCCTCCCTAGGGCTTAGTTTCAAGCACAGTAACAGGCTCACTAACTTGCATGTTTCCTCCTCCCCACTCCCCCTCCACGACTTCAGTGCTAATTTTTATATACAATTGACAGATAAGGCGAAATTCCGGGTCAAAGTCTCAAATTTGTGGAACTTCGCTAAAATTAGCGGAACCCTCCTAGAAAGTCCTCTCATAGAGAATATAATAGCTAAGATGTACAAAAAGCAGATTCTTGGTAAACGGCTCTCCCAAAAAATGTCACAGTACAGACCAACATGCATTAGAAAAGGGACTGTAATTTGAATGAAGGTCGGATACATGGCGCGCATTAATAAGAGATTGAGTAATTGACAAATGGAATTCATGCCAAGATGCCAAGCAGCAGTCACCTCTCGGGAACAGTTTACTGTCCACTTACTGTAGCTGGAAAGTGGACTATGCTACGAGGCGTGATGAGCTTCAACCTTTTCCAATGACGTTGTCATACACGTTATAGGCATACCCATTTAAAGTCAGAGTTTGCTGAAGACAGCACACAAAAAT